ATATATATGAGCGGTATATACGGAGCGTATTTTTCAGCGGTCAATTTATGGTGGAACAATTTTAAGTTAAAAATACCATTTTTTTTATCCGTGTCTTATTCGTTTTTTCTGTTTCATTGTTAATAAGAATGTTTTTGTTAGCTGTACAACTGATTAAATAGAAAAGTGGCATTTCTTTAAGCGCGAGAAACACCAAAATTTTTCACCAAACTGAAATAGTTTGGGACGCAGCCTTTTGACAAAACAAAAAATAAAATTTCTGCTAGTGGCTAAAGCTGTTCAACAATGTCGTTAAGTTGTTCCCTAGTTTCTTCAAGCCGATAGAGTGACATATCACGTTATTTTGGTTCCTGTTAAAGACTACTAAATTTCTCAGACTAAAAGGAGTTACGACGTTGGGATCATTACAGCAATGAATCATGGAGGTAAATCAGGCAATTGTCAAAAGCTAATCTATCTTATTTAAGTGAAATAAAATTTTTTATTTGGATCACTTGGTATGCAGAAAGAGAGAGGATTCTGGTTTAAACCGTTCAAAAACACCAAACGCGACAGTCGGATTCATTGTCGACGCTTAAACTAAGCCATCAGGTTTCGGCTATTAACCGCACTTTGTGGTGGACACTATCAAAAAGTTGGTATAAGTGTGAATAAATGTGTTCTCAAAATTGGATACCGATCAACAGACCACTTATCTCGTACATTGCTAAACATTTTGCCTAACTGAATCTAACCGAAGAACAACTGTTTCGCGCATAAGTCGCTTTTTTAACGTCGTGGAATTTTGCCAAAAAAGCGATTTTGGACATTTTATTTATATTTTATATACTTCTCGTTGTATTTCACTGTTTATTTGTTGTACTTACGACCGATAGCGATCCGTCATACGGTGTGCCCAATAGTTCACCGAATGAAACGCGGATTACTGCTATTGACCTTATCAAAATTCATGAACTTTTTCTACTATCTACTTTGTTACTAAGAAATTGAATCTTACATGCACCGTAGATGACTTGTCTAGTGCTGAGAAATGTTCTGTTTCTATTCTTTAAACTCTAATCGTCTATTTCTATGCACGTGCTATTTTCTGTTACGTATGAGGACTCTGTTGACAGTTCATGGTTTTGCTAAAGTGGAATAAAAAAAATTAAAGATAAGAGGAAAAACTGCTAGAGAAGGACAAATTTTACATGCCCCATTTTTAGATTTAAATTTGTCACGCTAAACGGTTCGGTGCCAGCAGTGATCGGCTTGATAACTGTAAAGAAATTTTTTTAGGCGTCGTCGTCGACTGAAATTGTACGACATGCTAAAGACTGGTGACGCAGCATAAAATATCAATGTTGAAAAAATTATTTGAGATGGATAAGGTGACGCAGTTGGCAAGAACTATTACAAAGACGAGAGGTAGTTCATGGATTTTTGTTACAGATACAGCGAACCTGAATATGCATAAGGTGAGTGATCACTGATCACTCAAGCAATTAGCAGCTACCTCCGCTTTGTTGTAACGCTATTAACCCAAAATAGTAAAGTAACATAGACAGCATATTTTTACTTATGCAATTTGTTTGCTGAAAAAACTTAGTCGGTTTTCTCCGCAAGTTTTAAAATATACTTGTTTTAGAAATAAATTAAGTGCTTTCTAACACTGTAATTGATATATAAAGATATATATGATTTGGTATTATAATTTTATTGAATAACAATTTCGACTTTTAGATGGCAGTTTTCTTAACATTGACACTGTAAGCTTTTCTATTTTGACTTATCAAGTAAAGAGAATTATTTGTGAGCCTATTAATTTTGTGTTACTTTTTGTTGTCCTGTAAAGTGAGAAGTATTTTATGTGTACAGTTGTCTTCTAAGGATACGATAGTAACTGTAATTATTTATAATTTTTGCTTAGTTCCATTTAACAATTTCAGTTGACTATTAATGCTTCTTTTTGGTTTGCTTCAGATTGCTTGCATTTAAACTGCTGTTTCTAAATTTTGACAAGAATTTTCAAAAATTTTGTAGTACAAATGGAAAATTCCTTTCATATTTCTGACTTTTTTTTTTTCATCACTGTAAATCTGTTAAGAACTTTATGTGTTTATATATTTCTTATGGGTTTTTAAAAGTATACTTTTGTCAACAGAATCCTGTCGATTAATCTAATGGCATCAATGGCCCAATAAGATTTTCAGCTCAGTAGTAGTCGATTACCAATGAACCATCGTTACTGCCACGACTGTCACCATCAGTGGCACTCAATAAAACACAAGCAACAAGTATTCCACAACCAAACACATACACATATGCACACTTCCAGTACTATACAGCCCCACTGCAGATGTTACCGGATATACGGATGATAGCCGTCTGCCAGAACTGATGCTTGATAAGTTATGGTCAACAGTGGACATCACTTGCAAAATCTACACACTACACGAATCGTTACCAATATAGCTGTCTGGTAATGTTCGATCTCGTTCAAGACAGTCCTCGCAACCCCTCCCTCCTTCCTCACAAAAAAAAAAGAAAAGAAAAAAGGAGGCTGTCGTTTGTCACCAATATGTTCAACAGCAGAATGGCTGAGTAGGGCACAGCGGCCACTGCCAAAGGTACTACTAATAATATCGAGCGCTTTGGCACTGGTCCCATCCTCGGAGTCGCAGAAGAGATTTTTGCAGTGGTGTTTGCTGCGACGCAGGTAGATCAGTCAAGTATTTTTTTATGCATTGTCCGTATTTGGAATTTTCGGCCATAGACGGTATTTTTCCGACACCACAACTGTATTATTTTATGTTTGCATTTTTTCTGCTTCCGGATATGCGAGATATTTTACTGTTTTCCGACACTGCTTTCCATTGATCATCGGATGGATAAAAGACAGATAAAGCTTCCAGATGAAACGATGGTAGGCGCGTAGAACATGAGGGTTATACACAGTATGTGTTTGCGTAGTGTACCATAAGTAAGTAAATTGTTTTTATCGTTATTTAGTACGTGTACCATCTTTTAAAATGCTTCCTTATTAATTTTTACTTCTATTTTTATTTTTGTTGTTTTCAACCACCGTCTGTTTGTCTTACAGCTACTTTATCCAGAATTTTGGACAGATGAAATAGATTTCTTGTTACTGCAATGAAATGAATTACGAAAACGCTAAACCAAATATTGTTTGCATGTCTGAGTAAGGTTCAAGCCTGGTGATATCTGAAAGTATGCGTGTCGAGTTATATCCTGTACACTCAGTGTACATTCATCTAGATCGGTTTTACAATATGGAACTTTCGGATCGTGAATATTATCAGGTTATTTTTATTGTTATTATTATCATTGTTATTTTTAATTTAATTGGTTGGTTGAAGTTTTTTGTTTTGGAAGACAGTTGTGTAGAACTTTGTAGGTAGTAACAATATTTATTGTAGATTCGTTTCAAGCTGAAAGTTCCAGTTTTCTGTAAAGCCGAGATAGTCTATGAGCAAGCATCATGCCCAAGCGTAGTCTATCCTCCTTGCGTTTCTGAAGGTTTAGCAAATTACTTGAAATGATTATTTTTTTACTTTTTAAAGTTTTCAGAACAGCAGTTGATCTTTTAGGATATGGCATTAGCAAAACCATTGAAATCTCGTCAGATAAATCGTACGAAACTTTCAATGATAGTTTCCGATGCACTTTGCAAATGCTCCGCCGCTTTGATGCCGTTAGAAGGATTTCTGTACAGATGGTTATAGAACTTTATGTTTTGGACCATACTAGGCCTCCTAGGTAGTTGCTTAGTACTTTTTTAAATCTAAAGTGATTAATTGTCATCTGGTAAATGTGAATATTTCTGCTTCCAGTTGTACGAATGTGTTTTCAGGATGGAATCATTTACTTTGTTGACAAAACGGACTTTAGATATACCATTGAAATTAGAAAAGTCTTCCCACGTTCATCGTTCCGTATTTTTTGACTCTACTGTCTTTTCTGCTTTAACGTTAACTATACATTCGTCTTTAATATCAATTGTTCCAGTTCGGAAAAAATTGCCACCTGATCCGGTATGATTTTTCTTTTTACTCTTGCTGGTTCACTGTTAGATATATTGTTGCTTTAGCCAACCAGTGAAAAACTGCGCAAATATCACAAGGCACTCTGTTATGCTCTTCTCTCTACAAAATCTTCTATCCAAAAATTTATAGGACAGTATTCCTCGCTGTTGTCATCTCCGTTACATATTGGTTAGTGGTTTTTCCTCATAACAAGCTGTTTACAGTACATTTCAATATTTTATTGACTTTCTAACAGATGCTAAGCGGTCAGAAATTACTTTATTGGCATTTTGTATGAGATATCATTTTTTTATATTCATTCAGAATTCATCCTCTTTATGCTGTTGTCGCTAAAACGTTATCTCCTGATTTCATGACTTCTCTATGTTAAACTTAATTATTTTAGAAAGTTTTGACCTAGAAGACGAGTTTAAACGCTTTGATGACCAATTTAATCACTCGTCTAACGGTTGGGCTGAGTTGGAGGAAAATGCTGCTATATTATCTCGAATTATTTCTCAACTTTTTGCACAGCTGTTGCAAATGTTCGCTCGCTCTAAACGTCTGTTTAAGTTTTTTGCCTTTTTGAGTTTCTTATAAGCGTTTGGAAGGGAGAAGGTAGATCCTTCTATTGTTTGCCCTTCGAGTTAAAAAAAGTGGGGGGTTGAAAATTGGGTAGCGAGTGATAACTGTTAGTTTAATCGCGAATTCTCGGCTGATTTTTAGAATTGTCAAGGACGCTCAACGAAGAATTTGACCAGTTACGTATCAAGCGACTCGGAGAGTTATTTTTTTTCTCTGAGAACTCGATGTTTAAACTTCAGGCAGTTGAAAGCAACGACTACACGCCTATTCAGCTTATAGATCACATCAAAAAAAGTGCCTATTTTTCACGACTACCAAAATTGGATTTTTACTGTTCAGGAACCGACTTAGGTCCTGATAATAGGTTTGTCTTGGCAAAGATTTGTAGTTTCTATTAATATAATTTCTGTTTTCTTTTGCGAAGCTGGTGGTTTTTCTTTACTTTGATTTGCTTTATTACAGGACCGTTATTGTCGAAGAAAGCTTTTTACCCGTTGGCGTTCCAGGGCAGCCTTTTTCGTTGTTTTCAGAAACACCCGCCATAAACGTTTCCCAGAAGGGCATTGAGTCGCCAACGACGAGTGATAGAGCTCAAAGTTGCGTGGGAAACTTTTGTCTTCCCTTGAAATGTTCGACCACTGAGGAACCGTATATGATACAGACATCGAATTTTGGTTTAACCTTATTAAGGAGTAATAAGATGGTAAGATATGTGATTATTTGCAAAGAAGACTGTAGAAAGGAAAGTGAAAACAAATAAAATTAAATTTTACTTTTTTTTTT